TATATTATTTATATACGATTTTGTTCCAGAAGCAATAAGCATATTTTTCACGCACACATTTGCCTCGTCGAGATTATTATAATGTTAGTTATGTTGGCATTAAATATAGACACATTCTATATTATTCTCGCAAAAAGACGTATCTTACCGACGATTCCACCACAAAACAATGAGCTTGAGAAAAGCGAGGCTATACGCCAGGGTAAGACTGAGGCAGTCCATGAGTAGCCAAAGATTGTTTAAGTCGAAGTGCGTGAGTATGTACGCGTACTGATAATATTGCACTATTGCTACCGATGTCATGTAGCTGAACCAGTAGAGATTCGGATAAGCCGAATCCGGCCACATTCCGATGAAACGGAGACCGATCTCGACCGAGATGCAAATGGTACTCGCACGTTTCATCGCTGTTTATTAACCGCCGAACGTTAAAATATCAACGACTACAGAGACGTCAGTGAATGAGAAGCACGTGCATGTCATTCAATATGCTCTACGTGATGGCTAAAGCACTAAATAGTCGCAGCGAAAAGACTATAAAGCGCAAGCTGCTCTGAACGTGAATCAGTCATAATTACATCTCGAGCGTTCTCATCGCAATAGGTAATGCAAGCTTATAGCTGTAACGATTAGAAAAAAAAAATGCGATTATGTTCGCTTTTCTCTTGAATTAGTGAACACTTTGATAGTACACAATAACAGGTAATTGCTTTGGAAGCGTGCGTTTCTGTCCCGAGGGGTTTTATGTCCATTTATATTCATCAAAAAAAATATGCGCACAGACTTGACGTTGATGTCTGCGGGACACGAAAGATGGAAAAAAAGTTTATTATAGCTATTACATTTTTTTATTGTGGTACACCGATTCTATTAATTCTTTTTGCTTTTCTCTTGCTTTTCTCCCTTCTATTTCCAGCAAAAACAATGGTTTCCAACAAAGTTCTGGAGGTGAAGAAAATAATGAATTACGCGGAGTCTTCTTCTGTACTAACAGACTGTGATGTAAAAATGTAAGGTATTTCCACATAAGCGGCGTCACTTTTGTTGCTAATTTTCAAATAGATATTGAGTCAGAAACAAAAAAGAATTGATATGAATATTATGTACAGTATGTTAATATAAGAAAAAGAAGGAAACAACAGAGATAAATAAATAATTAGAACAAGATGCTTTTTTAAGTAAAAATTGTCTAAAGATATATTCAATAATCATAGAAACAAATCTTACATATATTTTAGTTAAATCGCATGAGTTTATTCTCCAAATATGACGATTTTTTTTATAACTTTATGTGAAAAGTCACTTTATATGAATTAATTGTCATCAATAGCATAGTTATTCTATGAATTCAATTTCAGTAAGAATAATTTTTAACGACTTTATATGATTCATAATTTGTGCTACCCCATTTAATCAACAATAATGAGGACTAACTATTGATAAAACTATACGGGATGATAAGTTCTAATTGTCTAACATTTTTCTGATTTTAGTACATTGCATGTAATACTGATATATACGAGACAGAAGCCTTCATGATCTAAAAAAAGAATTATTTTTCATCAGTGGAGTAGTACATTAAATAAAAAATTTATTTATACTATAACTCTTTACACTTGTAAATCCTTCTAAAGTCAAATCAATGACTCTTCCTGCAGTGATCGTCAATCGTTTCTGACATCGTAAAATCATAAACAGTATAATCTGGCTCTCATTCGGCGGCATATTGTACCAAAGTGACTCGTATACTGCGTCGCCAATCGACTTACTCTGGAAACAGGATGAATTTTAAAATGTATAGAGGAATGATAAAATTAAAAATATTTTTTATTGGTAATGATATGTTTTCTGTACTTTCTAATGATAAAATTAATATTAAAATATAAAATGTGATACGCATAGTCAATCAGTGTTTGATTTGACGTAATTAAAAAGAAACATATATTCGTAATATATATTTAAACTACTAAAAAAGTTTTACACACTTTGGCACTTAAAAATTCTCCTGCAAAACAATATACGAAAACCTCCAGAATTATTGCAAGATAATAGCTCACGGACTTGATCAAATTCGAAATATCTTCGCCAGAACTAATGACCTGTAATAAGATAGGGGAAAAAAAATGTTATTTATCCAAAACGCGAAGAAATCGACATTACTCACAATTACAATCACAAAACCAGTGCAGCACATAACCAATGTATTCCACAGAACTTGCATAAGTGCAATATGAGTATATAGATTTTCAATATTTTCTGATAAAGTAATAATCTTCTGATGTTTGCAAATGAGACTTTTAATAACAGGTAGAAATGTGCTGCGATCGTATTTCCCGTTAGAAATTTCGATTAAATCTTGTTGCATAATATCGATTTGGCCACTTACATGAAGTATCTATAAATATCAGACAATTCTGTAAAAGTTATAATAATATCTTGTCTTAATACTAACTTAATTTGATCATATCGGAGCTATGATTCAAATTATTATTCAACTTTTTAATCTCTCTGAATCTCATTGTGTACTTACCAATGCAACAAGTAACGAATTTATCAAAGCAACCACAAAAGCTATCACCATATCGTAAAAGAATTGTCCAATTAAAAAACACTCGAAAATCGGTGATTTGCTAACGTCAAAGGGAAATTCCATTTTTATGGGAAGTTCTCGAGAACTATTGCCGAACTGATCATTCATCGACTGAAGCAAATGCTCGCCAATTGACAGAAAGAAAGCAGAAAAGGCATACATACT